AATTGGTATGTCCAAATGCCCACTTAGTTTCGTCAGAATAGGTCAAAAGTGCTTCTATTCTCAAAATGGCAATGTGTCCAATAGCACTTTGTCACTTCCTTTCAACTTGTCACACAAAATTCAAAAGAGAGAAAAGATAAGTAGAAAAGAGGTAGGACTTCTTTCGTCATTTGAAAAACGTGGAGGGGTGAAATCGGTATTTGAGCAAACTTGAAAGGAGACTGGTATGACTGTTTTTAAATGTTAGTTGAACAAATGGGAGGAAGAAGAACATGGGCTTCATAATAACGCGTTAAATCCAGCCCGCAAACAGCGGGATTTTTGTAAAATATTCACCTTACTTCATCAAACCACGGGTGGGGTCTGGTGAGGGTAATATGTACGCAGACCTTACCCCTACCCTGAAGGGTAGAGAGACTGTTTGCAGGAAACCCTCGGCTCAAAAAAGCAACAGAGGCCGATATATTAATACCATAAAAATGCATAATAAAATAACCGCAATATAAGAGATATTAAATACAGAATACGAAATACAAAATATATGGCTGGTATAGTAAAACTAGCAGGTAAAGCCCTACATCAATAGACGACCAATGACATTCTTAGTCTAACTCCTAACTGGCTAGTCTCACTCTATTGTGCTGTAAAAATATTCACAACTTTCCCCTAACCTACAACCTTAATGCTCGACCTCCATAATCCCCCGTCAAGGGTCATGTCCTCAGTAATCCTAAGTCGCGTCATGTCCTGTCTGATCACCTCTCCCCAGTACTTCTTAGGTCGCCCTCTACCTCTCCGCGTGTCCACCACAGTCACTCGCTCACAACTCCTCTAGCTTACTTTATCAAACTATAAACAAAACTCATAGCAGACAAAAGCTAAATTAAGGAAATAAATCATTACAGTACTATATTATTATAGTACTAATAATACTCAAATATATTTACTGTAGTTTACTTCACCAGAAAACTACAGTCCATCGTCGGTGCTTGTCTCTTCCATTCGTTCTTCTTCCCATCTGTCGTCTATTCTATTCTTTTCTCTCTTTCTCACGTAATTACACGCATTTGACTCCCATGGTACTATCTTTTCCTCTCCTGTAAAACCCCCAATTTCTTCTTCTTGACAGAAAGAGGAGCTGAAATTGGGCGCTCCATTTAGCGGCGCCATACATAATGGGTCCAGACAGCAGTTTCACAGCACAGAAAAGAGGTGGTGGAGCACTACCTACCACCGCCACTCCCAACGGCGGTCGGCCCAGTTCCGTCTTACCTCGCGGCCGACAGATCCAACGTACTTTCAACAATATTAAGATAACTATTCTTTGCGGCTTCGTCACTATCCTTGTCTTACGTGGCACCATTGGTTTCGGAAACCTTGCATCCTCCGGAAGTGATGCTGAGAATGCGAATCTTATTGAGGAGACTAACCGGATCCTCGACGAGATCCGATCGGACGCGGACCTGGATGACCCGGATGACCCCTCCGATACTTTTTTCCACCATAATTCAACCTACAGTTTAGGCCCGAAGATTACTACTTGGGATGCCGACCGCAAATTCTGGCTTCAGAAAAACCCTGATTTCCCTAATTTTATCCATGGTAAGCCTCGTGTTTTGCTAGTAACTGGCTCTCCCCCAAACCCTTGTGATAATCCAATTGGGGATCATTACTTGTTGAAGGTTATAAAGAACAAAATTGATTATTGTAGGATCCATGGGATTGAAATCGTTTATAACTTAGCTCATTTGGAAAAGGAAATGGCTGGGTACTGGGCTAAATTGCCCTTGATTCGTAAGCTAATGTTGTCTCACCCTGAAGTAGAATGGATTTGGTGGATGGACAGTGATGCCTTATTCACTGATATGGTTTTTGAGATCCCTTTTTCAAAGTACAATGATCACAATCTTGTTATTCATGGCTACCCTGATCTATTGTTTGATCAGAAATCATGGATTGCATTGAACACTGGTAGTTTTCTAATTAGGAATTGCCAGTGGTCTCTTGATTTGTTGGATGTGTGGGCGCCAATGGGGCCTAAAGGTCCTGTTCGTGAAGAAGCCGGCAAGGTTTTGACGGCTAATTTAAAGGGTAGACCAGCATTTGAAGCGGATGACCAGTCTGCGTTAATATACTTGCTGATGTCACAGAAGGATCAGTGGATGGACCAGGTGTTCATAGAGAATTCTTACTATCTACATGGATATTGGGCAGGGTTAGTTGATAGGTATGAGGAGATGATTGAGAAATACCATCCAGGTTTGGGGGATGAGAGATGGCCATTTGTGACACATTTTGTGGGATGCAAGCCATGTGGGAGTTATGGAGATTACCCTGTTGAGAGGTGCATGAAAAGTATGGAGAGGGCTTTCAATTTTGCAGATAATCAAGTGCTTAAGTTGTATGGGTTTAGACATAAGGGCTTGTTGAGCCCTAACATCAAAAGGATTAGGAATGAAACTGATAATCCGCTGCAGTATGTAGATCAGTTAGATCTTCGACATGCAAAGCATGAGAGCACAGGACCTCAGACCTAGTGACTTCACCATCTTTCTGCACAGAAGAATCTGCAGGTATAAGAGATATCATTCTGGTTTCTTGAATTTGTTGGTTAGGTCTGTAATGGACTCTGAATTGTAAACACGTCATAGCTTTTAGTTTTCTCATTAGTTTATTGTTTACCATCACCATTGAATTGTTAATGCTCCGTTGCTATGGTTCATTTCTTTTCTTTCAAAGACTTTTTTGTGAGTGGAAGCCCCTATCTTCATTAGATTGTTGAGCTTAATACATGAAAACTCCTATTTGGCTTGTTAGTTGAATGTCCGACATTAGCTTTTATGCTGTGTATACTGTTTTTCTGTAGGGCTTTACCATCTAGTTAAAAGGGTGTTAATTGGCATAACTCTAGCTCTACATTCTAGCAGGGACTCTTTGCAAAGATATTAGACCTTTTAGCTTAGCCTGCATCTTTAGGCCATAAAAGAAAAAGAGGAAAATGTGTTGAAACGTAATTTCTGTAGAATATGCTTGTCGTTTGATGTCGGACATATACTTGTTGGTTTTTTTCTCTTTTGAAACTCTACCATGTTTAAGAGTTGGGTAGTACATCAAGACATCCACCAGAAAGTCTCGGGGTTTAGCTTTCTAATCCAACTCACCTTGTAGTAGTCACCGTAACATCGTGCTGATTAAAGTATTTCCTTTGATATACAAATAGAGAGGCGGCGTATGTGTCTTGGATATCATTGTTCATCTAGCAGAATGGTCTAATCATGTGTGAAAATCTATGCAATGATGTTCTCACGGTCACTTATTTAATAAATAAAGGGTTTACATGCATAGTTGATTTCCTCTATTTGCTGTCCAAATAATATATGTGAGGAATTTCTAGTGAATGTAAAACCACAGATTGGTTGGGATGATGTAGGTTTTAAGACATTGCATATTTGATATTCACTGTCATGCAAAAAGAGACTGAATATACTGCAAGTTGCACCAACTGTTGAAGCTAACCTGAAATCTGTGTGTAGACTTCCTATTCCAAAGTCATTCTCCTGCGGGATGATTTAAAGAAGCATTGTGCATCAGGGAAAAAAACAATGCCTTCTCAAATAAAAAGAAGCATTGTGCATCACATCTAACAATTGAATATCATTATTTACATACTCTATTTGTCCTCCATGTTTAAATATTTTCCAGAGTTTCTTGACCCTTTTTCCTTCCATAATAAGTATTTCTGATCTTCTGCAGGGTGCAACTAAGGTTTTGATCTGTCTTGGATGAGAATGGCACTCTTGGAATGAGGTGCGAGTGCTTCATCTGGTTGTTATACTTGGCTGGTGAAGCCTTGCATCATGGGGATTAAATATGCCTTTTATTTGTTCTCCCAAGGAGGAAGTTTGTGTTAGTTTTATTTATTTAGCAACATTTTAGTTTCTGAGAAAGATGACGTTTGAGCTGTATGAAATGATGTACTTGGAAAGGAACAGCTGGAATCAAATAGAATGAATAGAATTTGTCTAGATAGAGCTTCAACATAAGTTACTCATTCTTAACCTCCAGGACTAGGAGGTTTAAGATGTGATCACACTTGTATAATTGCAATTCTTGGTTGTTTTTAGAATTTATGATTTTTTGGGTATGTCAAAGTCGATCATAAAGAAGTTATTTGAACTTGGAAATGAACCAGTATCAATACATCTTTCATTCTTCAATCTTCAGTCTCTTTGTGAAAGTTTGATCGGTCCCATTATATTGATAACTTGTCCAAGCATATGATTGTTTGAGGGCCATGAAAACAGTGCATGTCTTTCTATAAGCTCTGCACAAATTATCATTTACAATGCCATTACATAAAATCGTTGAAGCAAGCTATTCACAGAGATCATCCAGCCAATATGATTTTATGATTCTATCATACATCTTGCAGTTGATAGATGTTTGACTAATGAACAGCAAATCTCTTTCAATTTTTCCTCCATCATGGTCGGGAATTCAGAACATTTAGTTACTGATGATGATCTCTAATAAGATAGTTAGAAATGAGACATTTCCATGTAGTACTTTTTACGTGTCTCAGTTATATTTGGGGAAAACAGAGAGTGGAGGGAAGGAAAATAACTGAAAAATCAAATCACCACCTGACATTTGAAACTACTGAATTTGACACCGAAGAACCAAATTGAGGCCATTCACTTTGGGATAGATGCTTTTTCTTTGCTGGTGGTGGTGTAGGATTCCCTTTAACAAATGGATTCGCGGTAAAAAAAATTCTTCCTTGTTGTTTCTTCAAGCTTGAAAGGAATGGATAAGCATAGGCTTTTTAGTGAATGCAGACCGCTGCTTATAGATATGAGATCAATGACTTGTTTTGGTCGTAGGTGTTATTTCATATCTCTGGATAACAGGACCCCCTAAGCCTAATTAGTAGTCACGTCGTTTGCATATCTGTAAACTTTATAAGATTCAAAGATCTTAAATGAAAGCGAGCAGGAGTATCTGGACAAACAATGAAGCTTCTATTCTACCATTTTATAGATAATTTGTAACAACTGCGCTCCAAACTACAGTACAGTATATGTCAATGGATTTCGGCCATCCTCATAAATGCCAATCATCATTCTACAGAAAGCGCAGTCCATTTGAGCATGATGAGTGTGTGCCTATCATGACTAGAGTAGGTAATGACCATTATCCCTCGACTGCACAATACTACATACTACTAATTTCAGCTAATTCTTGGACAGATTACCTTTGTGCATAGCCACCAATACCTGATTCATCTCTGCTATTTGACTTAAAAGTTGATTTATCCTCTGCACAAGAAAAACAAGCGAGAATTATAAACTCAATAATGTAGGTAAAACCGATTGTAAAACTTTTTAACATGGGAATTTTTGCAAACACAAGAAGGCCAAAATTAACAGACCTCATCTTTCTCTGTAATGGTGCGTCTCAGCTGTTCGCCACTCTGTCTTGTAACCAATCTCCGTCTCAAACGAAAATACGCAAACAACACAAACATTGCCGCTACTCCATAAGGGGAGAGCATACTCGTAACAGCCCTTCGAGCTGAAGTGAAAAACCAGCGAAACATAGCAATGCCGTTGACTCTAGAAAACAGCACTTGCAGTCCCAAATTCCACCATTTTCCTCCATAACCATCTACTCTGGCTGGGGGTCGAGGACTACCTGGTACAGATTTTGGCGGATCCACGGCATTAGCATCTGAGGCGGTAAATGAGTAGGACGAATCATCGTTATCTCGATTGGAAGGTGAAAATGAGGATGACGATGACGACGACAGCGACGGGGATGACGGGAACGGCGGCGACGATGATTGGCTATGAGTTTTCCCAACGAAATTTGTGGATATGTAAAGGTTCTCGTGGTTGACCGGAGGAAAGACGGCGAATTCGCCGGCAATTTTATGGATTGAGAAGTCTCGGATCGCGACCAGAGAGCGAGTGGCTGGTGGTGGATCGGAAAGAGATTGCGAATTCCTTATACGTTCCCATTTCTTAAGCTTTTCAAGCTGGGCTTCCGTTATTGCGGCTTCTTCTTCTTCTACATCCGCCATCACACCATTACAGGCGCGCTTCACTAATCACTGACGGCCACTTTCCATTTTCCAATGGGAAGGAGTAGAGTGCAGTGCACTACTTCCAAATTTTAACTGGACATTCCATGGCCCAATATGTTCGGCTTCGGTTGAATTCCCTATTTCTTTTCTGGCCCGACCCGAAACTAACTGAAATGAAAATCTTTGCAATTTTTTAGCAACTAGTTTTATTTAAAAAAAAAAAAATCCTTTAAGGGATCATTATAGAGAAATTTTCAGAAATCACTATTGTTTAGTGGCAATTAACTTCAGATAGCTATTATTTAGTTGTTACGATAATGTATTTGTTGTATTCATGCTACTGGATTCATGAATACAGTGGCAAAAGTCGCCTAAACAACAGGGGGTTACAGTTGTACGTGACTGTATTCACATATATTCACGTCATGTATTCATGAATACAGTAACAATAATCACCTTAAAAATAGGTCTGTCCGGATGTCTAATAACGGAAAGAGGATCAATTAGCGTGATATACTCCTAATATAATTCAACAAAATCAATTCTAACACGCCTCATTATCAACCCAATTAATTAGAATAATTTTTCAGACGCTAAACACAAAAAATAGAGCGTTGTATATTCAATTTCAACATAACACAATCTACAGTTCAGAGGTTCAGTCAATTTTTTTCTGATATAGTTCGAGGTTTTGATTTGACCGTCATTAATAGGAACTTTTTCAATTGTAATCAACCTACTGCATGTATTCAGTTGTATATAAATATTGTATTTAGTGTGTTTTCATATTTATTTTTTTACTGTTGCATTCGTTAAATTCAATGTTTGTATTTACTGCATTCACTATTTTATATTCGGTGTATTCAGATGTATTTGTATTAACAGTATTTTAGTTATGAAGAAATTCATATATCAGTTGGGCCATACAGCCCATTCGAAAATAGCCCATATTTGAAGCCCTTACCTGGTTTAGCCCAGGTTGTATATGTTATGAAATTTAGTTTTCATCCGGTAGCCCACAACTTAAAACAACGGTTTTAATATTTTAAATTTCAATTTCTCTGTTTTTTTTCACTCTCTTCCTCACGCTTTTTTAGAGACGAAGGTAACCGACCTCCATTGTGGGGTTCAAGTACTTTTTCGAGCTTTCACTCTTATTTTCAGGTAATTTTCGTTTCATTTTATGCTTTTACCACAGTTTTGGTTTTGAATTTTGTTTTAATTTTAATTTTTTTTGCTTTTCTGATTATGCCTATTTTCTTTACAATGTTGTTGTGTTTTTCGTTTGATTTTGTGTTCCTTCTATCTTCATTCTGGGCTTAAAGTTGATTTTTCGGTTTGCGTGCTTTGTTATTTTGACTTTTAGAATAAAATTTTTTATTTTTTGAATTTTGTTACAATTTGGGAAAATTGGCCTCTGCTTTGTGTTCATGACCTTTATTTTTGGTTTGATTTTTGTGTTTTCCTTCACTTGTTTTCACTTTTGTTAAAGCTTCGTTTGTTTGTTTTATTGTAGAAAATGCATTCAAAAATACCTGTTTCTAAAAGCAAAATGAAGGTTGCTGGAAAAGGCGTTAAGTTCGATTATGCGAAAAGATTGAGGGACTTGCCCTCAAGCCCTGATTCTGAGGCTAATGTGCATGTCCAGGCCCCAGATGATGATGATTTTGAGTCTCCTGCTCCTCCTAAAAACTCTCAACAAGAGAGCAGTCGAATGACTCGTTCGCAAACGAGGAATACTACCACTCCAGTTAAATCATCGAGGAATTTGCCCTCAACCCCTGCTTCTGAAGCGAATACGCATGTCTAGGCTCCAGATGATGATGATTTTGAGTCTCCTACTCCTACAAAAAAGTTGCAACAAGAGAGTAGTCGAATGACTCGTTTGCAAATGAGTAATACTCCTACTCCGGTTAACATCATTAGAATAAGGAGTAAGAAATGTGGGAGACCTGAAAAATCAAAAGAAAGGCTGAAAGTTGATTTGGTTAATGAAGATGATGTAGGCCCCAGTGTTAAACCGAAAAGGAGAAAGATCAAGGACGATGGTGACAGTGGTCTTGATTGCATATCGAAAGAACAAAGGTTTGCTATTCGCTGCAAATTGAATGAGAGAAAAGCTAAGCTGAAGGTATTCCCTATGTTGCTATTAATTTTATACATGTTTGTACAATTTCATACAAAGTTATACAGCTGTTTATACATCTTTATACAAGTATTGCTACACTGATTTATACATATTTATACAATATTTTAGTATAGTTTTTGTTCCTGATCTATTTCTTGTTATTTTTTCATATGCAAGATTGGGGACTTCTATATACAACCAGTTGATTATTTCCACAACAGGATTAGTTCCCATACCGAGACTGATATTGTGAGCATTTTGAAGCAATGTTTGACTGACACGCAGCTTCAAATGTTCCGCGCTATTTGTTTTGGGTACTTCTTGGACCTCCCTCAATTAAAAATTCAAAATCAACTTATTCATTGTATACTATTGAGGGAAGTCGTCCCAGGACGGGAAAGGGAGTTGTGGGTGAAAATTAATGGTTGTTTGCTGCGTTTTGGCATTGGAGAGTTTGCTGTTATCACTAATTTGAAGTGTGTAGAAGACGACGCCACTTTTTATGACAAACCATATGTTAATAGGTTGCTAAAAGAGTATTTCTCAGGAGATGGAAAAGGGCTATAACGAGGGGACAGCTTCTTGATTGCTTCAAGAAAAAAGACTGGACGCCGGACGAAGATGCGTTCAAGATGGCTTTGATGGTGTTTGTCCATCATTTTATATTCTCAGATGCAAATAATCATGGTATCAACAAAGATGATTTTGATATCATTGAAAGTGGTCAATATCAGACGTATGCTTGGGGAAAAAAGTCATTTGAAGATATTTTAAAGACAATGAGGGACAGACAGTGTGACTATTTGACAATGCATAGGCTTGGAGGTTTGGCACTTGCATTACAAATATGGTTTTTTGAGTGTTGCTCTACGGTTGACAAGCATCTAGGTGTTCGCGTTAGCACAAATGTGCCACGCATTCTTAATTGGAAAGTCACTGAAACTCCAACATATGCGGATTTGACTGGCGGGGTGATCATGTATAGTATCGACAAGGTAAACATTTTGTACTATAATATTTCTTCATATATGATTTCAGTTTTTCTGTAAGTATGTATATTTATGAATATGTCGCAATTTCTTTTTTCTACTATTATAATCTAGTTTTTCTTCTTGTAGTTGAACTATAGGAACATTTCCCCTACTCGTGAAGAGATGTCAACTCTGAATATCAACACGCTTTTTGAAGTTAATGCTGATGATGTTGCATCAGGGGAGGTGCCTGCCTTTCACACTGATGATTCTATCGTTGCATCTCCACCTTGTCCTCAGAATATGGAGCAACAGTATAAACGACCTTATCCTCAGAATACGGAGCAACAGTCTAAACGACCTTTTCCTCAGAATATGGATCGACAGCCTAACCCGAGTTATGATCCTTTGTGCACATTGATCTGTTGAATGCTGAAGTTGAGAAGTTGAGGAGTGCTGTTGGAAAGGTACTGGAGCTTTAGCTTTTCTGTAGTTTATCGGTACTTTTTGTATATATATGATTTTTTGGTTATAAACATGGTTGTTGATTTACTTTTGTTGTTTTTGTTTTTTTTGTTGTAGTTGACTGATACAGTTACGACACTCAACAATTATGTAGTTTCTTCCTTTAAAAAAAATGTTCAGTTTTCTGAATATGAAGGAAACCAAGCAAACGAGGGAGGATGTTACTGATTCTAAGGTAATTTTTTACTGATAAAACCAAATCACTCAACAGTTATGCCTTCTCTGAATCATCACTCAACATGTCTTCTCTTTCTATTATTTTTTATTAGATTCGTCAGTGCGTGTCTGATGACAATACATCTGGTCTCGGTGAATTTGATGGCTATCAATATGATGTTGTTCCTGACTTTGTCGATCAAGTGAATCAAGATAACGTGCTAGCTGATGAGGGAGTTACTGATGGTGTTGACTATGGTATTCGTTCTGCATTTTATCTTTTTTTTTGTCTGATTTTTCATTTCTTCATTTTGAAAGTTTTTTATTATTGGTTTTCTCTGTCTAAGGGGCAGCAGGTGATGTCAAGGGTGACACATTTTGGGATGACATTGGCGATGAAGATTTAGCTGCGCTACAGATATCCCAAATTGTGCTTCATAAACCATCCATCATAGACGTGGAAGATGATTACATTTCTCCTGAATAGTCAGTTCGATAGAAAATACCAGGAAAATATGCCAAATCTCCATATTTGCCAGTTTTTTATTCGGGGGCATCAGGATCGGCGCACAAGCTCATTTTTTATATCAAGCATCCTTTCAGGATCAAAATTGATGATTTTGATCCATTGTCGCCATTGGCTAAAGAGTTTTGCGCATTTGTTGATAATGGGATAGATACGAGGCGAAGGTATCTTCACTTTCTTTAATCTTTTATGTTCTGATTTTATACTTGTCAATGAAGGTAGTTCTGATTACGTTTTATTTTTTGTGATTTGAAGTACCAAAAATATATATATCGATGAAGTAAATAAGCTTGCAGAAGCTTTTACTTTTGGCTCGTGTCATGTGACCACGAAGGATTGGTTCCACTCACTTGCGTATTATGGTCGACCTTTGATTGACACGATATTTAATAACTTTATGTTCTAATGCCTTTTTTATTTGTTGCATATCTTTATTGTTTGAGACCCCCATAGTGTATACATAGCTTTGTATAATTATAGTATAAGATTGTATAACCTTGTATAAATATGTATACCTATATATAATAATATATAAATTTCTATATTTAAAAAATCTGGTAGTGATGGTTGTTCTGTTTTATTTCTTGTCTCAGCACTTGGATGTCCACTTTTATTATTTGAGGAAGAGGAGAAAATATGGGCTGAGTGTTGCCATGCGGTTTACTACAACCGACTTTGCCTTTGGTAATAAAATCAACTCCATGTATAAAGATTTCAAAGTGAATCAAGATCCTTTAGTGATTCCTGAAGGGCATGAGATAGAAGAGTACATTAGAGGATATTATTGTGATACAAATGTACAGTGGCACACTGTTGACCACGTCTTATTCCATATCTATGTGAAGCGCGGAAAAGCAAAATTGGGTCATTGGGTTTTGGGGTTGTTTACGTTCATAGATAGGTGCATCCACATCTATGACTCTAACCGTGGAGCTATTAATGATAGACTTGCTTTGGATGTTGCATTACCTTATGCAATTCTGATACCTTACTTCTTGAAGAGTTCTGATTTTTATGTCGAGAAGAAGGGCATTGATTGGAACAATGGTGCTTATACCGATAAATCCCATTCTGATGTTTTGCAGATTAATCTGGTTAATAATGTGCCCCAACAGATCAAATGGTAGGTTTATCTCAATTGTTTTACTTTTTTACTATTAGTGTACCTATTTGAATCTGATTTGTTTCTTTTTAATTACAGTGATTGTGGTGCTTTTGTTGGTAGCTTTGTTGAGTATTTCATCCTTGGTAAGGAAATTCGAAAATATAATTTTGACATTGAGACACTTCGCACCAAGTGTGGATCTCTGTTGTGGGATTATGGAAGGAAAAAACAACAGTCCGGTGCAATTAGTGGTGATGAAATCACAGGGAGACTTTTCAGGAAGAGGAATAGGGGACGACCGAGAAAGTAGTTCTGTTTTTTTCCATTTTACTGTAGTTTTTCTATGTATCAGGAGTTGTTGCTTAGTTTTATCTAAGTACTATTCTGCTACTTGTGAGATAACCTTAAAGGATATTATAGATATTTTTATTTTTGTGTAATTTGTGGTAGTCATTACACATTGTGGCTGTGAATGAATTACATTTTAATGAATATTACAGTTGTTTTTGTCCTTTAACAAAGTATGTATTTTTATTATGGTTGCAGTTTTGTTAATGTAGCCGAGTTTATACATATGTATACAATAATATACATAGTTATACAAATTTATACAAACTTATACTCTCATTTATACATCTGTATACATATAATACCATTGATTGTTTGCAGTTCTATTTTATATTTGTACAATCTATCAATATATTTAGCACCATTAAAAACAGCAAGACACTATTATTGGATAATCAAAACATGTAGAATGAAACATCTTAATTGCTTGTGAAACTTAACTACTCAACATTTGTAACTCTATTATTTGTGAAACTTAACTACTCAACATTTGTAACTCTATTATTTGTGAAACTTAACTACTCAACATGGCAACAAATGTAATATGAAGTGTTATGTTTCCAACTATTTATTTTGGTCGATTCCTACATGTTTTTCTATTGTGACCACCTTGTCCACATATAGAACATGATAACGCCCTCTTAGTCTCTTTCTCTGAAGCAGGTTTGAGTCTTTCCTTTCTTGGCCTTCCTGCATTCCTTCTCCCTTTAGGTGGTAGGACCACATCTTCCAGCACCTCTATTGAGATTACCTATAAACTCTCATCTGGCATCGGATTCACTGGAAATTCATAAGTTCTAAGGAGTTTATCCTTCTTGTAGTAAAAAGAGCAATACTGGCCAAGTTTCAGCTGTTGGTTCTTCAAAAACCGCCCAAGCATGCGGACATGGAAGTTCTATCCATTTGAAATTTTCCGCAACTGCATGTTCCCTCTTCAAGGTACACTATGTTTCACCTTACCCCTTCAAACACAGTATATAATTGCTCCGTAGCAGGCCTTACCTGCAAAAGTTTTTTTTTTAAAAAAAAGTTAAAGAACATTATACATTATTATACATAGTTATACATCCTTAGACAGATAGTAAAATGCAAGTCAACAGTGCCAAGCATCATTATATTTGATTCATTTTATCGTCATTTGCTCCGATGCAATCAGATTTTCCCGAAGCAGTTTGTTGTACTTTTCGCCAAGCTCTGTAGATGTCTCCATTGCATTTTTTCTATTTTTGTTGTTTCACTGTTGTAGCAAATTTGTCATGTACTCCAGCAATTGCATTACTGGTAACTCTTTAGCATTCGTGTTTGCTGCATTAATTGACTTTGCAATATTGGAAGTCATTACCATCGACCTTTTTACTTTGGAATATGCCCTAGACCACCTTTCGTAGCCAATTTTGAACAAGTAAAGCTGCACCCTCGGATCAATTTTGCACACCTCTGTCATATGGTACTCAAACTTCTCTATCGTGGAAGCTCTAGCCAAAGCAAAGAAGATATCCTTCAACTGTTTGTGATGTTTCTTGAATGTGCGCTTTGCATGCTGTCACAAGTGAAACATGCAAATACAATGTGGTACTTATGGGTACACAGCTTTTGTGGCATTGAAGATGCTTTCGTTTCTATCTGAAACTATACACATCCCTTCCCTAACACCAAAAGTACCCTTTATCTGGACAAAGAACCACTCCCAAGATTTGTTATTCTCTGAATCTACAATTGCATATGCAAGTGGAGGGATTTTTCCTATTTATACAAAATAGATATTAGGATTCAGACAATTATACAAATCTTATACACAATTATACAACTTTATACAAACTGCAAATTTTATAAAAACAGCAGCTGTGAAATCCTATACACTTTTATACATGAAACTACAACTTTATACAAATTGCAGAAACAAGGTAGATGCAGTCAACTCACCAGCTCCATCCCGTGTGCAAGCAATCAATATGGTACCCATATATGCTGCTTTAAGGAAACTTCCGTCAACAACCATTATCGGTCTGCAATGCTCCAAGCCCTTGATAGGTGCATATAGCGAAACATATGCATAAAGAAAGTATCCATCTTCTGATTTGTGTAACTTTGTAACCGTTCCTGTATTTGTATGCTCCAACATATAAAAATACTTCGACAACTCCTTATATGAATCAATCGGACTCCCTCTTATCATTGTCGTTGCTATCTCTTTAGCTCTCCATGCTTTCATGTAGCTCACTTCAATCCCATGTTGCTTTTGTATGTCCTCTATTATATCATTTGCGGTGTAAACTTTTTTGGGATTAACATACTTGTTCTTGACTATACTAGCAATTACACCCAAAGTAGCTTGACGTTGTGTTAAGTATCTTTCACCATAGCCGCATGTGTGATTATTATTGTAACTTCTCACTTTGAATATGTTTGCGTTGAAAACGACAGAAGAAGATTTGAAGCTCCAAGCACAATTGTCATCCACACATATAAGGTGATACCTAGGATTAAAGATTATTCAACTTCTAAATACACTTGTATACAAAAACATAACTAGATATATACTAATTTTAATACCTATATACAAATATATACTACTTTATAAATATTTATACACACACACACACACACACACACACACACATATATATATATATATAACAGAATATACAATTATTGACATACTTTGTTGCGCTTGATCTCTTCATCTTGAATTGGAACCTCTCGCGTACATCCAAGTTCTTCATCACATTCATAACTGTCTCTTTATCTTTATAAACTTGATCATCCTCAACAAATTCGTTCAACATATTATCTATTATACCCATGTTTTCGCTAAGTTTCCTGTTTTCAATCAATTCGATATCAGGCATAATCTCAGTGCTATCAATTGTGGATACATCTATAGAATTGGAACTTGTAGCAACCAAACAACTGGAACTTGTAGAAACCAAACGATTATCATAAATCTCTTTCACTGTCACAAACAAGGGGTATTCAGTGAAATTCAAGTTTTTCTTCTTTAATTCGATATACACCTTAACACCTGTATCGTTGTAAATCAGGATCGATGGCAAACCATCATTTGGGAGAAAGTTAATCTCTATTGTGTTTAACTCAGTATCGATCCTAATCTGTTCCGAAATAGCTGCAACTAAATTGTTGTAGCTGAATGTCGACTCGATTATTACACAATCGCTGACGAAATTGATAAACTTGTTTTCTTCCCATTTACCGCTATGAAGAACGTAAACTGGAAAAAGCTCCATCGAACAAAAAGTTGAAATCAAAATTGCAGCAAAAATGAAAATTGCACTGATTTGCAGGGAAAAAAATTAACTTTTCGTGTTTGATTTGCTGTTAATTCGAGATGAAGAAGAATTTATAGGGTTTTTGAAGATGCATTGATCGCAAGATCTCGTTTTTGTAGATTTGGGGAAGAAGAATGGAAAGAATGAGAGAAAATCTCACTAAAAGATACAAAATCCCGCTTCTGACTCCCAAGAAACTGAAACAACGCCCTTTTTATCGGATATGGGCCTCTTATTTTTGTGCTACTCAATTGTAAATTGAAATATGAGCTATAAAGTTGAAAAGGAGGCAGCCTAGTTGTTTTAATATGAAATTTTCCCTTTAGTTATTCCTAATACATATTATTACCACTGTATTCAGTATATTTCATTGGTTGTATTGTATTTAGTTTATTTTGTTGTATTGCACTATATTTTAAAATTAAATATATTCACTATTTATATTTTGTTTTATTTCAATGTTTGTATTTAGTGTATTTCAATTTTTATATCATGTATTCATGCATATTGTATGTACTCCATGTATTCATGGACCAATACATATTTTGTACATATGTCCAAAACTTATGTTTATCCGTTTAATGTAGATTGTACCATTGACTGAACACTTACGCATGGTGAATGGTAAAAGAAGGCATTACACTAAAATGTTGTTAATATAACTATATTTGATTACATTATTTTTAGCACTTTTAAAAAATAGTAAAATTAAAATGGATTCATGTATCATTAGAATTTGAATACAAAAGTATATTAAAAAAAATGAATGTGTCATGATCCCGGTTCGCCCTCCGTGAACCATCGTGACGGCACCTAGTCTCTACGATTAGGTAAGCCTAAATTGCGGAAGAAAACCAAATTTGCAAAAATAAAATAATTTAAAACATAAATAATATAATAAAACAGTGTTTTAAAGTGCCGTTCGGCATACAAAATATAACTCTCAAATCTAATATATATCTCTCCCAAATCCCGGAACCCATGAATCACAAGTTAAGGATCACGACACGGTACTCTAACTCCAGAATATCTAACAAGGAAAAGAAATACAGAAGGGCAAATGTTTAAAAGCTAGAATAGAAAGGGACTTCTCGGTCTGCGGACGCGGCAGATATACCTCGAAGTCGCTGGAGCAGTCGCCTCGCCTCAAGGGTGATAGGACTGAGTCGTAGTACCTGGATCTGCACATGAAAAACATGTGCAGAAAGGGCATGAGTACACCACAGCGGTACTCAGTAAGTGCCAAGCCTAACCTCGGTCGGGTAGTGATGAGGAAGGTCAGGGCCCTACTAAGATAAAATAATGAATATAAGACATGATAGTATAAGATAAGCAGTACAGTTGAAAAATAACGATAAGAATTTAATACAGGAAAACAAGAAATTCAATAACTGAAACAGAGGCGAAAACAATCACAAGGAAATAACCGAGGATCTCTTAGTACCCTCAATATATGCCAATGATCTCTTGGTATCCCGAAGATCTCTCGGTATCCTCAATATATGCTAGGGATCTCTTGGTATCCCGAGGATCTCTCATTATCCTCAATATATGCTAGGGATCTCTTTGTATCCCGAGGATCTCTTGGTATCCTCAATATACGTGTCGGGGATCTCTCGGTATCCCGCACCTTAGTTCAAATCATAAATACGTAGAGGGGATCTCCTGGAATACCGTTCCGTAGTCCCAAAGTAAAACACACAGCAACAACACAAGAATACTCAATTAAACTCAATTTCGTATCAAGTAAACAAGTAATTCTAATTTAACATGCTTCACCTAGGCAGTTTAAGCAAATAAACAGTTAAGTCAATTAGACATACTTTTTCTCAGTAACAGCAGATTTAAATTGCAAGTAAAATGAAACAGGAAAAGGAACACAGTTGAAATTACTTAAAGAAAACCGAAATTTCAACAATTAGTTCAAGTACGCCCTTGTCACCCACGTACAAGGCATTTCAAATATCAAATATACCGAATCCTGAGGGGAAGGTCCCCCATACAAGGTTAGACAAGCCACTTACCTCGAATCGACTCAAAACCAACCCGAAACCATGCTATTGCCACGAGTACTCGACTATAAATGGCTCAAATCTATTCAATTTAATCGCATAATGTAAATAACACTTCAAGTAACTGATTCTACAAAGATATTCTAAGCTAATGCGCGAATTTTGAAAAAATGACCAAAACGCCCCTCGGGCCCACATCTTGAAATCGGGTAAAATTTATATTTTCAGAATCCTCACACTCTCCCGAGTTTATGCATACCAAAATTATCCAAATCTAAGGTCAAATTCTAGGTCTAAGAACTTTCTTCCAACTTTTTCCCCAATTTTCATCTCAAATCCAAAATTAAATGATGAAACTAACTATAGATTGATGGAATATAACTAGAAAGGGTCAAAGAATTGTTACCCAATGATCTCCTCTTCAATTTCCTCTCAAAATTGCCCTCTCCCGAGCTCCAAATCGAATCTCCAACTTTTGAAACTAAACCTTCAAAATTTCATATTTTTGCCCAGCTATTTCTGCATATGCGATCCTGCATTTGCGGAACAATGGTCGCATCTGCTACTTTTCACTTAGGGCCCAGATTCCACATCTACGACTCTCCATCCGCAGATGCGGTACCGCTCATGCGGAAATTCCACCGCTTTTGCGGTTCCTGTTGAACTCTCCAAATTCCGGTTCTGCGGTTAATCCGCCGCTTCTGCGGCTCCGCGCCTGCGGTCCCACGCTCGCAGGTGCGGTTATGATAGCAGAACAGCTGAAACTGCAACTCAAATTCCAAAAATCTTTCCATCAACCATCCGAAATCATCCCGAGGTCCCCGAGACCTCAACCAAACCTACCAATATATTCCATAACTTCATTTGAACTTGTGCCAACCTTCGGAACACTCAAATCAACATCAAAGCACCTATTTTTCATCGGATTCAAGCGTAAGAATTTCAAAAACTCTAAAAATACGCTTTCGATCAAAAAGTCTATCAAACCTCGTCCGAATGACCTAAAATTTTGCACACACGTCACATTCAACACTACATAGCTACTCCAACTTCTGGAATTTCATTCCGAACCTCAGATTAAAATCTCACTATCGAACCGGAAACTTCAAAAAAATTCAACTTTCGGCATTTCAAGCCTAAATTAGCTACGGACCTCCAAAATACAATCCGAACACGCACCTAAGCCCGAAATCACCCAACGGAGCTAAAGGAACCATCGGATTTCTATTTCGAGGCTGTCTTCATACCGTTCCAACTACGATTAGCTTTCCAACACTTAAGCTCTCATTTAAGGACTAAGTGTCCCAAAACTCTCCGAAACTCAAAACCGAACATCCCGGCAAATCAAAATAGCAGAAATAAACTTGGGAAAAGCAGTTAATAGGGTATCGGGGCATTAATTCTTAAGACAACCGGCCAGGTCATCACAGAATGCATTCATAATAACAATTGCAGTAAGACAAAAACACATTCATGTATTCTAAACAAAAAGGTTGCATAAAACTATGATCAATTCAGTAATAAGCTTAAACTACAATCTGTAAAATAGAAAACTATTCTATAACTATTTTCACAAAATTATCTGATTATGTGATTTTCCTAACAATCTTTATCGGTGCTTGTTGGGACCAAACAGACACGCAAGTATACGTGGTCGTCAAGTAATAAAGTGACTCAAAAGTCGGATGTCGAACCCACAGAGACTTAGATTAACCGTTAACTAAGCAAACTAAAATCAATTTAATGTCCGAGATAATAAAAATTATTATTTTTCTATTACAACTACTATTGCAAAATTTAAACATATAACCAAGGGAGATATAGATTTTTGGGGTTGTGGTTAGTTTATCAATTTTATTGAGTTCGTAATTACACCTGTTACTCCAAAATATCTATGATTGCTAGTTGACCGGATCGTTTATAAAAATAGCATGTTCCCACAATATTATCCGTCTATCGATAATATATTAACCCTATATTCTTTTGGTCTTGAATCTATCATGAACGAATATAATATGGTATTCAACTAAGCAAAACTGTTAGGTATATTCCTATCATAACCGCGAAATTTTTCCCTGAGCCACGGGTTCAGAAACAAGCTCTCTCTAATTCTACTCTAATCTAAACACGGCTTTTCCAAGCATAGCATAGATAGTAAATAGAACTCTACTGCTGGCCAAACAATTAAGCAATTATGCACAAAATTAAAGAAACAACCAAAGATGATAACTCAAATTAACGTGATGTAATTAATAACCTTCAATATTCGTGTCAACCACAAACCTAGAATGCAAAGTTGAGCTCCACATAGACATGGTAGCAAAACAACAAATCATCAAAAAAAAGTAAAGAATACTAATAGCCCGTTTGGGCAAGCTTCTAAAATCAGCTTATTTTGAGAAGTGCTTTTCTCAAAAGTACTTTTTAAAAAAAATACTTTTGAAAAAGTACTTTTGGTGAGAAGCAGTTGTGTTTGGCTAATTAATTTGAAAAGCACTTTTGAGCAGTAATTAGTATTTGGCCAAGCTTTTGAAAACTGTTTCTAATTATATTTTTCTCAAAAGTGCTTCTCAGAGAAGTGCTTTTGGAGAGAAGCTACTTTTTTCTGTTTCTCCTCAAAAGCACTTTTTTCCCTTCCAAAAGCTTGGCCAAACACCACAATTTTTGGCCAAAAGTGCTTTTGGCCAAAAAAAGTACTTTTGGCCCAAAAAAATACTTGGCCAAACAGGCTATAAGTTAGATGGAAGAAATATGGAATCTGATGAATTCCGACCTCCACGGCGGCTCTGTGCTCTCCCTTCGTCCAAACTTGTGTAAAAATAGTGTTTAAAGACTATTTATAGGTGTGGGGAAAGGCCTAGACGAAATAACCAAGTCCAAAATCAAAAAGGAGACAAAATAACTTCGAAACCCGGACCACGCGTCACCACGTGGAATGCGTGTTAG